ATCCCTCTGACACTGGCCCCCCATCCCTCTTACACTAGCCCCTATCCCTCTGACACTAGGCCCCCATCCCTCTGACACTAGCCCCCCCCATCCCCCATACACCTTCATAATCCCTTGGTAGATATATCACTGCCCCTATACATCTGTAGAAGTGTGGCTGCCCTGGAATCTGATTAATACCTGTCCTTTGCAGACACATTGGTCACCAGAGACTATAAGCCTATAAACTTCAGTTAAGAGGTCCAAGGTCAAAATCACTGTGAAATGTTAATATACTTAAATTGGGCTCATATTTCAATTTTCAAGTGACTACATCATGATTTCATAAAAGCCCTACATGCATCTATATTAAAATGCACTAGTTAATACAGCAACTTCAAATGTAGTGGATAGTAATATGGCACTTTGAAATAAGTTTATAAGATTAGTTGTCTACAGCTTTCTTTTCTAGTTGTGGAAATAGTCAAGTATTTAACTGCGGGAGTGCATTCATGCCAGCTTATCATCAAGGGACATTACTCTGTAATTGAAAGGGTTGACCAACATAGAAATGTTTACACGAGATCCATGTTACAATTTGATGCATATCTATATGATGGATATAACTCTCGACATAAATATACCTCCTCCCTGATTTGGCCATGACCTTTGACCTTTTAACCTTGACCACCAAAATCTAATCAAGCATGAAACTTGATATTAACACACTATGGTGTAAGTATCATTAACAATGTTTTCATTTTCACAAAATCACCATTCCTATCTTATTATTGGTCTCATTTCTCAACTACTGCTGTACTGTTATCTTGAAAATGTCTAGGCCAGATGCCATGACGGGTGTATCAGATTTTGAATCATTCAAAATTAATACTTATGCAATATTGATAATATAATGCTCCATCAGTTCCGTGACAAAATGTAACAAGAGGCCCATGGGCCTTAACGGTCACCTGACATCCGATTCAAATTAGGACTGTCATCCAGGGGCCAATTTATACTTTTCGTCGGTCCGAGTGACCTTGCTGCATCGTCCATTAATATTTCCTTGTGAACACAATAACTTCAGTAAATATGAACCGATTTTGATGAAACTTTGTATGCAGCTTTGTATCAATGAGATCTTGGATGAGTTTGAATACCAGACCATAACTTACATAGTTATTCCCCTTGGTAATTCTATTATTGTTGGACCCTGTGAACACGATAACTGAAATAAATGGGTGTGACTCCAATTTTGACCCAAGGGGTCTGTTTTGAACAAACTTGGTAACTGTATGTCTTCTGTTCTTGGTTAAAAGAAACAAGTAAAAGCGTAAATCAATGATTTATTAAATAAGGCACAAAATTTAAATAGAACCTTGTTAGTAGCAAAAATGCGTCATGAATAAAAAAAAAAGGTGTATCACATGAATTTACATCTATTCTTGTGTAATGTCAATCAACATCACAGGGACAAATAATAATAAAATGACAAAGGGCAATAACTCTGCAGGTTACCGTCAAATAATTACCGGACAAAGTTTCATTGAACTCCGTCAACATTTATTCAAGTTATCGTGTTTACAAGGTCAAATAATAATATTATTACAAAGGGAAATAACTCTGTAAGTTACAGTCCAATAATTCCCAGTTTCGAACTCATCCGAGATCTTATTTATATAAGGCTACATACAGAGTTTCATCAAACTTGGTTGATATTTACTCAAGTTATCGTGAACACAAGGTCCAATACAAAATAGTGTAATAATATTATTACAAAGGGCAATAACTCTGTAAGTTACTGTTGAATAATTCCCATTTTCAAACTCATCTGGGATCTTATTGAGATATGGCTGCCTACAAAGTTTCATCAAACTCGGTTAACATTTACTCAAGTTCTCGTGTTCACAAGGTCCAATAATAATATTATAACAAAGGGCAATTACTCTGTAAGTTACTGTCGAATAATTCCCATTTTCGAACTCGTCCGAGATCTTTTTGATATATGGCTGCCTACAGAGTTTCATCAAACTCGGTTAATATTTACTCAAGTTATCATGTTCACAAGGTTGAATAATAATAATATTACAAAGGGCAATAACTCTGTAAGTTACTGTTGAATAATTCCCATTTTCAAACTCATCTGGGATCTTATTGAGATATGGCTGCCTACAAAGTTTCATCAAACTCGGTTAACATTTACTCAAGTTCTCGTGTTCACAAGGTCCAATAATAATATTATAACAAAGGGCAATTACTCTGTAAGTTACTGTCGAATAATTCCCATTTTCGAACTTGTCCGAGATCTTATTGGCATATGGCTGCATACAAAGTTTCATCAAACTCAGTTATAATTTACTCAAGTCATCATGTTCACAAGGCCGAATAATAATATTATTACAAAGGGCAATAACTCTGTAAGTTACTGTCGAATAACTCCCATTTTCGAACTTGTCCGAGATCTTATTGGCATATGGCTGCATACAAAGTTTCATCAAACTCGGTTAATATTTACTCAAGTTATCATGTTCACAAGGTCCAATAATAATAATATTACAAAGGGCAATAACTCTGTAAGTTACTGTCGAATAATTCCCATTTTCGAACTCCTCCGGGATCTTATTGATATATGGCTGCATACACAGTTTCATCAAACTCGGTTAACATTTACTCAAGTAATCGTGTTCACAAGGTCGAATAATGATATTATTACAAAGGGCAATAACTCTGTAACTTACTGTCGAATAATTCCCATTTTCAAACTCGTCCGGGATCTTATTGATATATGGCTGCATACAAAGTTTCATCAAACTCGGTTAATATTTACTCAAGTTATCATGTTCACAAGGTCGAATACTAATAATATTACAAAGGGAAATAACTCTGTAAGTTACTGTCGAATAATTCCCATTTTCGAACTCGTCCGAGGTCTTTTTGATATATGGCTGCATACAAAGTTTCATCAAACTCAGTTATAATTTACTCAAGTCATCATGTTCACAAGGTCCAATAATAATAATATAACAAAGGGCAAAAACTCTGTAAGTTAATGTCGAATAATTCCCATTTTCAAACTCGTCCGGGATCTTATTGATATATGGCTGCCTACAAAGTTTCATCAAACTCGGTTAACATTTACTCAAGTTATCGTGTTCACAAGGTCGAATAATAATAATATTACAAAGGGCAATAACTCTGTAAGTTACTGTCGAATAATTCCCAGTTTCGAACTCGTCCGGGATCTTATTGATATATGGCTGCATACACAGTTTCATCAATCTCGGTTAACATTTACTCAAGTAATCGTGTTCAAAAGGTCCAATAATAATATTATTACAAAGGGCAATAATTCTGTAAGTTACTGTTGAATAATTCCCATTTTCGAACTCCTCCGAGATCTTATTGACATATGGCTGCCTACAAAGTTTCATCAACCTCGGTTAACATTTCCTCAAGTTATCGTGTTCACAAGGTCCAATAATAATAATATTACAAAGGGCAATAACTCTGTAAGTTACTGTCAAATAATTCCCAGTTTCGAACTCGTCCGAGATCTTTTTGATATATGGCTGCATACACAGTTTCATCAATCTCGGGTAACATTTACTCAAGTAATCGTGTTCAAAAGGTCCAATAATAATATTATTACAAAGGGCAATAATTCTGTAAGTTACTGTTGAATAATTCCCATTTTCAAACTCGTCCTGGATCTTATTGATATATGGCTGCATACAAAGTTTCATCAAACTCAGTTTACATATACTGAAGTTATCGTGTTCACAAGGAAAAGTTAACGCACGAAGACGGACAAAAGACTATCACAATAGGTTACCATGACCTATGGTCAGGTAACCTAATAAAGTGGATGTTAAAAGCTAAGTCATACCACCCGTTTCCACATTGAAACAAGATTGCAACACGTTGCCAATATCTCCCACCATTTAACTGCGATTCATTTCATCGAGACATGTAGTTATGACCATAACCTGCTTACATGGCACTCCATCTTGCCAACCTGTGCCAGTATACCAAATTTGACAATCTCAAGGTGAAATAATGTGGGAGATATGTTTTGCCATTTTCACAATGATCAAAGGTCAAAATGTAGGTCACAGTGACCTTTCTTTTTACTTGACACTCTGCCTTCCAAAGATATACTAGTACAATCTGGTGATACACTGGTAATGTAGGAAAAGCTCTGGACAATGCCTCAGAAGGATGTAGAAAAGGAAACTATAACCAAATACCCCACCTGTATTGTGATGGGGGCTAAAAAGCAGAAAAGGGGCATAACAATGATAACAACCATAGAATTATTTGAAATGAATTACAATAAAACTCAATAAGGTACCAAACCAGTTTACCAAGTTACTAACAGTCAAGAATTAAAAGAAAGTAGGTATACCTTATAAATGGAAAAAAAAATTACCCTGGTAAAACATGAATCAGATAATAGACAAAAATAAGCCGTCCACAACTACCTAGAACATGTTAAGTTTTCACAAAATATGAATTAAAAACTTGGAGTTGTGCAATGTTTGGCTTAGAAATTTGCAGAAGGTTCGCAACTCCATTAAAATAGCCAGATCAAAGAAATAAGTGTTAGTGTATCTTTGGAGGTTTGTAAAATCCAGGCGAAAAATTATCAACAAATTCTGTCCATTTTTCACTTTGTTTTGTAAATGGAGCACCATTTCCATAAAACAGCTAGATCAAAAACAAGAGAATTTTCACAACATTATAATGTAGGCGATTACATCAATGAATTTTCATGAAAGGACTATCAGGTTTGGGTCTTTTCTCAGCCCCTAGATCCATTAAAATTCAAAATATTGTATCAAATTTTCAAATCATTTTTTGCTTCTTTGTGAATTCAATAGGTTTTGACACAAAATAATCCCGATACCTATTAACAAGAAGTAACCATATTAATCTCAAAACCATTCTGTTCAATCCCAAGGGAGTTTATTTCCATACTTTAAATCTAGGATTTCTCAAATAACCCAGCAATCTTGGATTTCTGAGGCACTGGACATTTTGTCAAGGTGAATTTGAATTGCATAATCATGCGTCGTGCAATATAACAGTGAAATAATTAATCAAACACAAAGGTTTATGAACTATTTTTTATTATTTCCACAGACAAATAACAATGAAATAATTTTATATGAAGGCAAAAATGTGCACAACAGAAATGATCAAATTTGATGTCATGAGAACCAAAACACCAAACGTAGGACCTGGATTTACGTATTACACAAAACATTATCACAGTCTTCTCTATCAGTCTATTAGACTTTAGGACCTAGTCGAGTCATACACACTTTTCACCAGGATTATGTTTTAAAAAGATTGTCTTACTACAGAAATAGTGTCGCCTTTTAAATTGACTGGAACGGCAAAAAAATATTTGTATACTATATCAAATACAAAGTATTACATTTCAAGAGAAAGAAGTTGCACAAGTTATATTTCATACTTATTAATAGAAATGAGAGTTCTTAACAGTTTATTATGACAGTTTATAACATGTAGACTATCAAAGATTTATGACACGCAGAATATTTCAAATTTAAGGTATATGTTACCAGTACTGCATAATAAGTGCTATTAGATGACATGAAGATGAAGCATGAATCAACCTACACCAGTGTGCCCAAGCTCTGAATATGATTGTAAATATATCAGGAGAATTTCTTTTGGATATTTCATAAACTTGTCTTCCTTTTCACATGTTAACAGCATTTAACCCCATTTGAACAATTCCACTTCCTTTTAGCTTATTACCAGATCATTTAAAATGTATGTACTTGCCTGTGCTAATATTCAAATCTAATGTATCAAATATCCATACTTGTTTCCTAAAGATTTTTTTTACTTTCCATCACCATCGATTATTTTACTCCTTTAACAAGAGATTCAGTAAGTTGATTTTCCAGAGAACTGTCCAGTTGATTAACATGATGCACTAGTGATATGATAAAAGCCGATAAATGAGAAAAACCTCAAAAGGACCAAAGATTAAAGCAACATTTCCCACATCTAGATATAATTATTTACAAATTGGCTAAAAATTCTGTACAAAAAATAAATCCTGTATAAATTCAACACAAGAAATCCTTAGTTTGTTATTTTGTGTACAAAATGATAGGCAAGCCTCAGATATCAAATTTCAAAATAGATTTTTAAATCCTGTTTCTTTGATAAATGTACAATTACTTGTATCAAATATTTTCCAACTTTACATTTTTTGACACTAAATTTATATATCAAAATTTGTGTAACACTGTCAATATTCAATGGCAAATATGTATTTAAACACTGATTATGAATGCATGACACAAAAAAGTTAAAATAGGTGATCCACCTCGTCTCTCTATTACAACAAAGAACCCATAACCAGAATACAGTAGCTTTACAATTAGATGTTTTTTGAGATCAAATTCTCTGTCAAAAGTTTCCTTTCCAAGCCACATAATAAATAAAAGATTTGTATCCATGTGTTTCACATCACATATAGCTGGTTTATGGTATTGAGGATCCTGTTTGATCACATAGATCCATGATCTAGCTCAGCCCAGGTCTCTCGTACTGGACGTGATCTATAATGGGCGTTATTAGGCCGAAGTGTAAGGAGGAGGAGGAGGACTCTGGTCCACAGGCATCTTGATAGCCTCCTCATACTTTGGGGGAAGGAGCATCTGGAAAATAACATAGGAATACTTCAACTTTCTTACTGAATATACCAGGTTTATTCCAACTGGGTAAAACTGTCATTCCAATCACAGCAGTTACCGCCTAACACACAAAAATTTATTTGATCCCAATTTATTTAATACATAAATCCACAATTTTTCATTATGCCTCAAGTGTCTGTCATTCTGGAATACATTTAAGCCACAGACAAATAAAATCCATTATTAGCATTATTTTAATCATTCAACATTTTAGCACAGAATCAAAGCAATCATTAGCATTATTTTAATAATTTGATATTTTAGCACAGGCTATATATAGCTATCAGACAGATGGGTGGAGAGCCGACCCCAGCAGTGGATCTGAGAGTTGTTATTAGATGTCGTTGGATCAAGGCATTTAATTAAATTTCAGTATTTGTATGGAGAACAACTGCAGATCACAGAAAAATACTAAAAGTTGACATATAATGTTGTTAATAGAAACTGATTATGCATAATCAAAGAACAGCATTTGACCTTTAAAGTATCAGAACTAAGGTCAATGTCAATATACCCATGCTATGAAGTAGTAAATAGATATTAGTCACAGCAAACACTTTCAAAGTTATGAATGTAATACTTCATTTCCATGCTTATGTTAGATTACAGCCATCTTCATGATATCACAGTTCCAGTTCCATCTTAAATTACCATGACTAATGTAAAATTTCATAAATATTACCAAACACAGACACTATGATTTTCACACCGCGACAAATTATCTTTAGAAATGAGGATCCCAGGGAACCTGCTACACATATTCTTACTCTGTACCTCTTTAAGAAAAGATAGCATATTCCCCACAAAACAAGGCCTCCTGGGACACAACTTGAACAATTTCACTGCACATATCTAGCATAATTAAAGCAAATTACAATAAACAAAGAGCAAATTTGCAATTTTCAATGGTTGAACTAAGGACCCCAATTCCCCAGCTTTTTGTCTTGTTGGATGAAACAATTGTTTAGGCCATGGTGTAACTGTGATGCTATGAGGATGTTCAGGCTAAAAGACTTGCATGCAGCAAGCTTAATACATGAGCTGTCTACCTTGTTGTTTCCCCATACCTCGGTGTCAGGATCAATGGAGTACTCGCGTACTGAGGAACGGCTGATCAGTCTCATCTGGAGGTACTTATAGCATGCCCACACCATGCCGATCAAGTACGCCTGGAAGGAAAAACAGTTAAATGCACTTTGTTGAATTTTATGAATTAACTGTACTTTCTGGTGATCATACCTCAGAGACACATGATCTAACCAAAATGCAGTATCAAATTTGTTTGTTCTCTCAAGATGACAGATAGCAAACATATATCATATACAAATGGTTATGATACCATAAAATCGTTTTCAAAATGTTGATGGTCCCGTCCCCATCGCTGAGACACAGGAAAAGCAGGAGTCCAGAATTCAACTATATGTGAAACCTGATGTCAAATGAACATATAGTAAACCCATACCATCCGCGATGTCAAATGAACAGACAGTTCTCATTCATTGCATGGATGTACACGTCCACACAATACACTTATAAGATCAGACAGATAATATAAGCATGGTATTACTATATTTTATGGCCGATATATACAGCAAATTGTTCAGGTCCAGGACAGAAGTTCCAGGTAATCCCAATTTTTAAGTTGTTCTTAGGAAACCAAATTATCTGTTTGAGTAAATTAAAGAGTCAAATAAGTTGTGTATTTTGTAGCCATTCATTACAAGTTTTGCAGCAAATTGAAATGATCTCTTTTAATACTCACCTTCAGAGAAAGGAAAAGGACAAGGAAGAGGAGACAGAGCAACATCAGAGAGTCTCCCTGGATGTTGGCCACACTGTCCAGACCGGGCATACATGACTGTAGGGAGACAACAGCAACAATTGAACCTTTATTTACAGGTGTACTACTGACAGATCAAGAGATAATAGGGCCAATTATGTTGTTATCTACATAATTTCATATATTGTTACTTTACTTTTATTTAATCATTACGTTATATCAATTGTCTGATTCCAATGTAAAATAAATCGGTTTGCATACCCCCAAAAAGAAGAATTCTAGAATAATATGCAGGATTGAATGAATTTTGTTTGAATTTTGTGCCAAAGTAAAAATAACACAAGTTGAATTTACTCACCAGTCCCTGCTCTTTGAGCCAGACTTTGAAGTTTGGAGCATACGAGAAATATCCAACCACAGTAAGACAGGACAAGCAGAAATCAAACACTTGGAGACAGAAAAACGGCAACAGGTATCCTGGGCGGTTCTACAATTGTAAATACAAAAGTCATGTAATATAATAGAGAGCTTCAATCAAGAAATTTCCGACTTATGAATCAAAACATAATTTTAGTGAATATATACTTTTTATCTCATTGAAATCGATACATTTTTACTTGCACCTTTTGATTTTTACACAAGGTAACTTGTTCATACTCTGACAATAGAATGCATATGTGATAGTTATGGCTATGAGGCTAACTCTTTACAAAATTTCAATGCTACGTTCATGTAAAGACTTGCGATCACAGACTTGTATGTGACAGTGAAGATGCATGTGAAAAAAGCACTCACTCTGATTGTGCCGTACAGCAGGAAGAGAGTAACGCACAGTGTACATAGTGTAATGGCAAACCCCACACACAGATCCTCTACAACAAAGTGGGTGACATGGATCATTAATTATACCATGAAGGAGATAATGTAACAACACTTCTCATTGGTTAGTAATTATCATCATGTACGTACATGCATTATTTGGCAATAGTCTATGCAGGTTAAACACTCTTCTAGCAGCCTCCCCTGAATATATCACATACATGTACATACATCTTGTCATTTCAACAATACTTTCATGTGAAACTGCCAGAATAGGACTATTGTCTGCAGCATATCTAACATCAGTAACATATATAGGGCTTATTGGTGGAATGAAAATTAGGCATCATGTGACAAATATTTGTACAGGCAAAAGAACATCAACGCCATGTTGCCAAATATATAGTTATAGGTACTTACTAGGTAAACCTGAAAGAACATTCTATTAAATTTTGATGTGGTAGAATAGATATAATCAATACTTGGTTGTATATTACAGTGAAAAACACAAGAGAAGGTTTGAAAATGATTGAAAAATAATATAACAGCTATGAAATAGTATGTAAAGAAAACACCCACATTTTATTGCAAGTTTGTTGATTTTCATTTTCATTTTAAACAAAATTTGATTCATGACAAAGCATTGCACTGGATGGAAATGTTTTCTACAATTATCAACTATGTAATAGACCCTGCATGCTTACCCCTGGTCATCCGGTTGATGTAAGGATCCACCTCATATGTGTATGGCTGAGCCTCGGCCACTTTGAAGCCACTGCCATTGTCGAAAGCCACCAACTCAAAGCCACCATTCTGGTTTCCTATGTTGCACTTTTGCAGCGTAGGTCTCAGGACATCTGGGTTGATTGATGAGTATACCAGGAAAGTCACTACCATCAAATTGGCAAGCTGAAAAAGAGAAACAAATCAAAAATTGGGAACACATTCAATTACAGCATGTTCACTGTATGTATACACTTGTATTTTTGTTTCATTTAGTGTTCAGCTTAGGTTTTTGGAACAAATCATTTTTTTCTGTGTGTTTTTATTCCTAAGCCAAAAGGCATATTTTTTGCTCAATTTACAACAAATGCATCTCTTCTCGGCAATAGACATCACAAGACACTGAAAGTGAAGCTGTACACAAGCATCAACTTGTCTAGTGTTCAAGTTGATGCTATTCCCGTGGCCATCAAACTGAGAGGAAAAGCTGCAGCTGACTCCAAATAGATCACCGATACATTAATTATAACAAGAGGCACAGAGGGCCCGTATCGCTCAACTGAATATTTAAGCAGTCATAGCAAAATATTCTCATTCAGTATCATATTGCGCTACAAATATTTCCCTCGCAAACTTTGTCGGCTCCATCTGTTGAAACTACCAGCCAAATATTATTAGAAGATTTTATGCTTTTTGGTTCATCTTCAGAAGTTAATTGACATATTTTTCCCGGTGACCTTTTAAGTAGGTCAATGTCAGTTTCCTTCTCATACTTTGTTAGCTCTATCCCAAAAAGCTACCAGCCAAATTTTATGAATCCATTCCATTTGGTTCTTAAGAACAAATCCTTTAAAATGCTGTTGATTTCTGTCCTTTAAGGAAGGTTGAGGTCATTTTCATTCGCAAATTTTGGGGAGCCAAATATTATAATTTTATGCTTTTGATTATTCATCAGAAGCAGTTTGATGTTTTTGACATATTTGAAATCTGTGACCTTGAAAGAAGGTCAAGGTAATTTTCATTCTCAAACTTTGTCGGGATCTATCTTAGGAAGCCAACAGCCAAATATAAAGATTCTATACCTTTCAGTTCTTCAGAAGAAGTTGTTTAAAGAGTTTTTACATATTTGACTGCTGTGACCTTGAAAGTAAGTCAAGGTCAATTTCATTCTCAAACTTTATTGGGCCCCATCCAAGGAAGCCAACAGTGAAATATGAAGATTCTTTACCTTGTAATTCTTCAGAAGAAGTCGTCCATCCCAGGAAGCCATAAGCCAAATATGAAGATTTTATACCTTTCAGTTTTTCAGAAGAAGTCGTTTGAAGAGTTTGACACATTTGACCTTGAAAGTAGGTCAAGGTAATTTTAATTCTCAAACTTCGTCCGGCTCTATCTCATTAAGCCAACAGCCAAATATGAAGGTTATATACCTTTTCGTTCTTCAGAAGAAGTTGTTTAAAGTGTTTTGACATAATTGACAGCTGTGACCTTGAAAGTACGTCAAGGTCATTTTCATTCTCAAACTTTGTCTGGCTCTATCTCATGAAGCCAACAGCCAAATATGAAGGTTCTATACCTTTTCGTTCTTCAGAAGTAGTTGTTTAAAGTGTTTGACATATTTGACCCCTGTGACCTTGAAAGTAGGTCAAGGTCATTTTCATTCTCAAACTTCGGCCAGGTGAGCTAATAATAATACCATTCAATTTCTAAAATGAAAAGCAGTAAAGTTTTTCTCTACAGTCATTCTCTTCTATTTTATGCCTCATTAAGTAATACCATCAAATAAGACCTATATATATATGTAAATGTTAATGTTGTATGTATATTTATTTATTTATATAAATGTAAGCACTGTAATTCAACCAGATTCATAGAACTGCATTGACATCCTGTGTTCTACTTCCCGAAGTTGACAAGGGACTTGGGCAGTGACATAATACATGCAAGCAATATAGGGCGCAACTCCATCTTACTTCCTAATCACTTCAACATGTATCTGATTATGACTGTACCATCAGTAAATGATGAAAACAAATTCTCAATACCCTGTTGTTTTCTTTACCTTTTATTATGCCTACATACATGTACGATATATGCTTGTATGATATTTCATTTGTTACATCTTTTATTACAAGTATTGAAGCAACTCTATCATAATAGAAATATTGAAACGAATGCATTTCTTCAACACAATGGCTAACCAACAGTGTAAAGACAAAAGTGATATACAGCTAAGGTTGAACTGGTTCCCAAAGAAGTGTTGGTCGGTGATTCTATTAAGTTAATTTTACTTATACAGATGCAAGACTTACCAAGACGTATCTTTTCACAATACGTAAACTACCATAACTTAAGTGAATAGTAGTAGTTTTCTACTGGCAATTAGACCATGAAATTTTATAAGATCTAAGGATCTAATCTTCTGTAGACAGTACAGAACTGAATATCCTAATAAAAAGATTATGAAAAAATCAATATTAACTATGGTATCCGATGGAACACGCTCAAGTGGATTGAAAGCTTCCTATCCAACCGTACTCAGAAGGTTATCCTTGAGGGCCAACAGTCATCAACATCTCCAGTAACATCAGGAGTCCCTCAAGGAACTGTCCTCGGACCTCTACTAGTCCTGGTCTTCATCAATGATCTCCCCTTGTGTGTAACATCCACTACTATTCCTGGTCTTCAACAATGATCTCCCCTTGTGTGTAACATCCACTCCTCGCTTGTTCGCTGATGACTGCTTGTTGTACAGAGTTATTTCCACTCGTGACTCTGCACAACTACAACAAGACCTGACAGACTACAGGAATGGGAGGATAGATGGCAGATCAGGGTTCTCCCCAGGCCATTAAGCTGATACGGCTCCGTATCAGCTTCAGTTTGAAATCCTCCCTGCCGTATCAGCTTAATTGACCCGTATCACCTTAGACTGTGAACCGTATCACCTTGTTATTTGTACTGAAGGTGGTCTTTTTACACAAGAAATTGACACTGATTAAATCACACGGCTGACCCAAGTCNCTGTAATTAGTGGGGAGGGGGACCGGACGACAAGCCCACAGGTGTCCGGCAAGCGTGCTCACTGGAGCCTAAAGCAATTACCACCGGATCCTTTTAGCATGGTCAATAGGTGATTAATTGAGGTACCTACTGTTGGATTAACAAAACAAACACTTATTACATCTATTATAAATTAATTTACTCACATATGATTGCATTTGACAACGCTGAAATAGCGTGTGTATTGAGTTGGTGATGGTCGCCATCTTGGATTGAGTAAAGTACAAACCGGAAAGGGGAATGAAAATCCTGATTTGTTTTTATTAATGAAGAAGAGCTCAAATACAAATGCTGTTTTAATCTTTGATCACATTTATTGACAGCAGTATTTAATACAGTTTTGGAGGAAATAAAAACACTGTACATTTTATTAAAACATTTTCTTTTACAATAATAAGAACTATGATATAAACGTTTTCATGTGAGTGTTTCCCCCTATAGCACAAACAGCTTTTAAATATTTCTTCTTTAAATTATTTTTAATGGGGATTAAGTAAGGGATACAAATGTAAAGATAAGAGACAAATGTCACAAATGTCATATCTATTATTCAATGTACAAAACTCATACACCTTTCTAGAAATTGTTTTTTTTTTAGAATATTAAAAACAATAATATTGCTGAAAATTCAGACATAAGAAACACTTATTTATTTCCTTGGTTTTAATGTTCACCAAAAGAAAATTGGTAAAGAAAAGTAACTTTTTAAACATAATATTACCCCCCACCCCCAAGGTTTGATAAGGTATTATAAGGTATTATATTAGCGTGTCCGTCTTGAATGTTCGCTGCAAAAGAAACATATCAGCTTAAAAAAATTCTGGGGAGAACCCTGCAGATGAGCTTCAACCCGGAGAAATGTGAAGCCATCCGGATAACCAGAAAGAGGAATCCCTTGGTCACAACCTACTCCATCCACGGTCAAGATTTAGAGACAGTCCCGAAAGCCAAGTATCTAGGAATCCACCTCCAAAATAACCTCTCTTGGAACAAACATATTTAAGCTGCCAGCAAGAAAGCTATTTCCACCAACTCTTTTGTGCAGAGGACACTGAAGAAATGACCAGCTGATTCGAAGGCGGCCTGCTACACCACCTTGGTACGCCCCATCATCGAGTATGGATCGGTCATCTGGAGTCGACATACTCATTCCAACATCAGCAAGCTAGAACAGGTCCAGCGAAAGGCAGCCAGGTATGCTACAGGGGATTTCAGCAAATACAGCAGTGTCACAACCATGCTGCAGACACTCGGCTGGCACACCCTGCAGGAGCGAAGAATTTAGGCCCAGCAGGTGATGCTGTATAAAAACGTCCACAGCCCTATCGACATCCGCCCAGAACCATACTTTCTGCCTGCAAAACCCAGAGGACACGACAACCGGTATGTCCAACCTACATCCAGAACGCAGACGTACTGACATTCATTCTTTCCAACTGCAGTGAGGACGTGGAATCGACTACCATGACCAAAACCATATAACTGTGTTATATATTTTGATACCGAAACTTATGGGCACAGGTACTAGCCTCGTCTATCATTAGACTATCAATACACCTATAATATAATGTTATATATGTATTAACAGATGAGGCTAGAACCTGTGCTATTAATGCCGAAACGTCCCAATTTCCTTCCTTGCGTAATACCTCACGTTCGTTTCTCAAGAACTCACAAAGTCAAAGTGACTATAGGTAGACACACAGACTCAGATAAGATCATTTATCAGACTAGATCTACATCATTACTTTTTTTTTATACACTTAAACGTTGAATTTGACGGATTCGCTATTTTTACCTAACTAATGAATCAGTAACGTTACCCACGAATATTTCGGTTTCGTCATCAACAGAAGATCGTCAACACATGCACAATGAGTAAGACAAGATTTTTGTGTCTTTTTGTCGGTTGGTATTTACTATATCTTACCAAATGCCAGACGCCAAGGAGAACAGTTCCTGTCCTAACATGGCAACATAGGCAACAGCGGAAAGCGCTGCTGTCTCTGTTGTCGAACGTCAATCTCATGTTTTTGTGTGATCAGTTTCGATTCTCTTCTGTTTCTATAAAAAAATAGTACGTCGGTCATATTATTGCGCTGTCATACGAGTTTGCATTTTTCTTTTAATTAATTGAATAGAGATAAGTGAATTGCCACTAAAAACAGAACATATCGTATGATTTAATATTATATTAGCTTAATAATTATATATTGAAGTATTTTAGCTGAATAATCTTATATTTGACGAACTATTTTTTATATGGCGTGACATTACAGGAAATAAGTATAAAGGGCAGTAAGCCGGCTTGTTAGGTGTCGATCCATAGTTTTAGAAGATGGGCCACCAAACGTCTCTGATCGATACAAACATTGGCATTAGTCCGCGCATCAGGAGACAAAGTCAAAGGTTGATAAAAAAATACTGAAAACCTCCCCTCAGCATTAAAATAACTGAAAATAATAGAATCAAACCAGTAAATTCATAGACGTATTTGTTATTATATGTGTAATAGCACGTCCAGTGTCGGTAGATGCAAGTGATCGTATAGTAATTATTTTTTTCCCCCAAACTACCGACAAACTGACCTGCGGCATTCTCCAAGAACATCCCGCTGCGTCCGTCTGTACAGTCAGACACAAGTCCGTCAGATGTGGAGGAGCATCCGAGTTATAAATCAATCAACACCTTGTTTCAAAGTTAACTAACGTTTATTACATATCACACGGCTAAGGTACGTAGCCGTTAATACATGGCAAACAATACGTACATTAATAAATTAACAGTAGTATCACGGACTTAGATAACAATCTAATTCCGTGGTAGTATATAATGAGATAGTCCGAATTATTCTGACGTTTTATCGACTTTTTTCATATCGGTCTGTCGTCGATTAACGTCAGAACTCCGGCCCTCTATAATATGCGGGAAATATGCGACCCATGCCCGGAGCGCACTTCAAACTGATATTTTAGAAACAAATCGTCACTTTCACACACATGTCGCACATGGATCGAAAGATCTATTCTTTATGCACAAGATGAACATAAATTACATGCCTCAAACAACCAATACAATCACTAAAAACATATTTTTTCAAACTTACTCTGTTTTACTCTAGTTTTTTGATAGCCCCGCCTTCTAATGCCACGTGACTAAAATCTCGCCGGCCTACGTCATAACGTTGGGATATACCTTCGGTAACGCGAGATCTCGTCAAGTCATGTGACATTGCTCATGGCCTAATTTCCATTAAAAACATGGGTTGGTATAGAAAACGTTGGAAAATACTTTTCGTAATGATCTTTGAAACATGTTATTGATACCACCTAGTACATAAAGAATAGATCTTTCGATCCATGTGCGACATGTGTGTGAAAGTGACGATTTGTTTCTAAAATATCAGTTTGAAGTGCGCTCCGGGCGCGGGTCGCATATTTCCCGCATATTATAGAGGGTCGGAGTTCTGACGTTAATCGACGATAGACCGATATGAAAAAAGTCGATAAAACGTCAGAATAATTCGGACTAATAATGAGAGAGATCGGTTTGTTTACATGACATCTCAGCTCGATTTTTTTATATTTCATTCTTGTATTCCAATATTTTTCACCCCAAACTAAGGCAATATTAAGATTATTATCAAACTTCCCCTACGCTCCATTTTAGCCATATGTTTTTGACCCGTTTCGGAACACATTTGCCAAATATACCGGTGTCCACTAAATTTGTGTGCACTTCCGGTTACGAAATACCCGCGTAATACGACCTCGTCATGTGGTACAAATTTCATTTTTTGCCTTTGCTGCTTTTATCATATCACTAACATTGCCTTATTTGTGTTGTGCACCATTTAGTGCCTTTGGGTCGCACAAAGGACGAAGAGTATAACCGTCATTGTCACCAGAGACGTATACTATACATTATACGTCTCTGTTGTCACTAACCTTGTATGTCAGTCTGTGTTGCGATCACCCCTCATGCTCGAGCACGTACCACTTGCGACGGGTCCTATTATCGTCATACTACTGTGCTTGGTGAGTACACAAAACCAGTCAAAATGTCTGGACGGCCGACCAAAGCCACCAGACCCACGAGCACCTGCTCAAACACGACCTCCACCCATGAAACCTCGACAATAACACTAATACTACCGTCACTCCATCCATCACATAGTATCAAAATCAAGAGTAACCTGTTCACAGTCAAAAGCATATCTTTTGCCCACAAAGTTACCGTCCAATCTCGCTAACCTGCATCCTCAGTAAACTGATGGAACACATCCCTACCAGAAGCATCATGACTCACGCCGACAACTATAATCTTCTCAGCCCTCTCCAGCATGGTTTTCGCTCCAAACGTAGCTGCGAAACACAACTTCTTGCTTTTACCTCATACATCTATAATAATCTAGCACTAGGTCATCAAACAGATGTAGCCATTATGGATTTTTCAAAGGCGTTCGACAAAGTCGACCATGCCTGACTCGTTCTAAAACTCACTCGTTTTGGCATTCACAGCAAAATCATTGCTTGGGTCCTTGACTGTAGTCAGAAAGTTGCTGTAAATAACACCAAATCACCGTCCTGTTCTGTCCTCTCTGGAGTCCCCCAAGGCTCAGTCATGGGGCCCTGCCTTTTTTCTAATCTATATAAATGATCTACCAGACTCTATCACAAGCAAAGTTAGACTTTTTGCAGACGACACTGTTGTCTATGTAACTGTTTCATCCGACTCTGATGCAGAAACATTACAAAAAGACTTAAATCTTCTGGAAAAATGGGAACAAAATCGGTTAATGTCCTTCAAACCTGATAAATGTGAAATTCTACACATCTCAAAGAAAAGACTGACACACAAATTTAATTACATTCTCCATGGACAAATTCTAAAGCAAGCAGATTCGGCTAAATACCTGGGCTTAACTATCACTAAAAATCTTTTCATGGAACACCCACATCAATAACATTACCAACAAGGCAAATTCCTCCTTAAGAAACAAAAGAGTTAGTTTATAAAACCTATGTCCGCCCACACATTGAATACTGTAATCCCATCTGGAATCCATGGCAGGCAAATCTTACCCATAAGGTTGAAACGGTGCAGAGAAGAGCCGCCAGGTACACCCTTGGGTGCTATAACTACACCAGTAGTGTTACAGAAATGCTCCAAACCCTGAACTGGCAATCCCTTGAACAACGCCGTATAATGACCCCCACCATATTACTATATAAAATCATAAACGGCCTTGTGGCATATGATGGCAACCTCTAAATTCTCCAGCGAACCCGACAACACAAATTCCAGATTCCACACAGCTCCACAAATTATCATGCAAATTCATTCTTTCCTAGAGCAATTCGAACCTGGAACAGCCTCACAACCTTCATTGCCGACAGTGCAGACCTCTCAACACTAAAGGCAAATCTCCTCTCTCACAAATTGTAAGCGTACATGTTGTTTTTATCGTATAGTTCTAAAAAATAAACAAAAATAAAAATACTTGTTTTTAACCGATCTTTATGACGCCTCTAAATAATGTTCAGTATATTGAACGTTTTAGAGTATCCTGTTGATGTTGAGGTGGAGTGCCCATGCGCAAGGTTTAGGACGGAAATTTCGAAGTATGAGAATCATCACCAACAAAACGAATATTTCCTAGCGTTTATTTGAAAAAAATCTACCAAAATTTTATATTAACGGCTTCTCTAGACTACACTTTAGAGGAATATTGTAATATTTTGTCTTTACTAGTACCTGATCTCCTGTATTTCGATCAAACACTGTTTTGTGAACACTCATCACCTACAGTATTTCGGCGATTGTTTACATCAGTGACAGTACGTGATATGGCAACAAGAGCGAGAACAAGATCAGAAAAGGAACCGTTTAAAGTGGCTGACATCCAACATCTCCAAAAAGATCGAGAGACACGGTAACATCTGGCTATATGTTTGGCTTAGCACGTGTAACCTAACCACCAAAAACAAACAGTTTGTGTTACTAACCCCAAACATTGAGGGGGAAATTAACAAGATTGTGTCAATCTATCGTGAAACTGCAACAACAGTGGAACAGTACCCCGGGTCGTGAAACTACAACAACAGTGGAACAGTACCCCGGGTCTAAAGTGACGATCCTAGAGATACCAACTTACTCTAACGAAAAGTGGAACGAAAGCAGAGGACACAAGAGCCCAGACAGTTTCAAAGAACAAGACGTTGAACTTGCTGGACACATTTATGAACACAACAGACAAATCAGGACAATAAACAACACGAATGCAACAGACTTGTCTGAGTTCTCTTCAGACCTGCATGTATCATTCAGATACAAGTGTGGAAAAAATTGAACTCAGAAAACTAGGAAACATCACAATTTTAACCTCTACAGCGACGGAATACACCCAGGGAAACTACTAGCTCGGGCCTGGTGGATGAAAATATCTTAACAAGCCATCAGAGACTGCTGGAGTGAAAAGTAAGGTAAGTGGTCAGTCAGTGCGGGTTTTTCTGCGCTATCCTGTCTATAAGCAGTTGTTGGTAAGTAAAGATTTTTCCTCGCTAGACCGACATAATGCTTGTCCTTGCCTTTTCCATATCACTCCTTGTTGGATATGTTCAGAATGCATCACCACAGACTGAGGAACACCATCATATGCTCCACAATCTTCTTAACAACAGAATGTCATCATGGGGAAGGCGACCAATAACCCTACCCCTTTCAAAAAACATAAGGAATAGAACTCTTCTGATACTATTAATGTTAATTGATTAATTAATTCCGAAACTATACGTAGATACAAACGGTGTTGCAAAACTACTCAGGAACTTAAACATATCAAAAGCTTCAGGACGAGATGGAATACCAAACAGAATCCTCAAAGAATGCGCGACAGAAATATCATTAAGACTCACAAAAATATTTCAAAAATCACTTGACTCGGGAGAACTTCCAGCAGACTGGAGACATGCCAACATCTCATGCATATTTATAAAGGGAGACAAACACACTGCGGAAAACTATCGCCCAGTGTCACTAACATCAGTCCCCTGCAAACTTATGGAACACATCATCTGTCGACACATGCTAAAACAT